TGAACAAATTACTATCTTGCATTAACTAACTGCATTATAGTAAATCATCAGACAACAGAATCTGTCATTTGTGGAAAGATTTGTTCATAATGTTATTTATAATGGTCATTTTTTAAAAAAAAAATTGCACAGGTGTTTGGGACGTTCAGGTCTTTACCTGCATTATTTGCTGAGTCTCCAAAGGAGGAACCATAGGCTAACTGTAACATTTGTCCAACCCAACTGAAAAAAAATCACAGAGAAAGAGTAACCATTAGTATCAGACAATAGTTACTGAGTGATCTACAAGGCACTTTCTCATTTAATAAATCAAGCATAAGAGGTAGCAGGTGTCATGTTATTATTCCTCCCTTTTAACATCACCTGTTAAAACAGAGGTTCAGGAAAATTAAATAATATGCCCAAGTTCACACATTTAGCAGGTGATTTTGTTGTTAATCTGGGCAGCCTAACCCCAGAGCCCATAATCTTTACCCACTACAGCACAAGATCATCATTCCAGATAACCTTATCCAACAACATAACTTATTGTTTAAGATATCTTAAATTACAAAAGAATAAAAGCTAGACAGCAGGTGCCAACAAGTTCCAAAAGCAATGATTTTCTTTAGAGATAAGTTTATAATTACTGATGCAGTTATAGTGTACACCAGAATTAAAGCAAATGAAAACTGCATTTGAAGCTGCCACAAATTATACATGAAATGTCATTAATTATGAGATCAAATAAGACTATATCATGATGGTCAGGCATCCCTGATGCTTTCCACATCACCAACATTAGAAAACTCAGTAGTAATATTTGTCAGTCTTCCTTGTTTATACTTTCAAGATGAATGAGGGCTGCCCTGAAAGCATCTAGCAAGGCAAAATTCGGTCAAGATTTAGTTGTATTAGGCATAGATTGTAGTGTTAGAAAGTATGCTAACTGTACAATTGATGTATGCAATTTTATACTGGATGTGTTCATTCACTTTTTTTTTTTTTTGGCCAGGTGAAACCTTTAGATGCCTGGGCTAGAATTTTTTCCCTCAAATCAGCCACTTTATTCTGCTTCTTAAAAATGCTGAAAACAAAACAAGACCATCTCTCCTTCCCAATTCAAATACAAATTTTAACATTTCACAATTGATGTTGCTGATATTTAGCAAGATGGAAGTGACAAGTTTGAAGACAAAAAAAATCATTAAATGCTCTAACTGGAAATGCTATCACCATCCTGTTATAAACATCTTTCATTATCACAAAATATCCTGCTGAGATTTTATTGTCTAACCTCCAAATCTTTCTTATTTTGTGGGCTTAAATTTCATTTAGAATCTGTGGTCTTTGGATGGAAGATTCTCTTTGTCTCTCTCTGTTTCTCCCTCTTGCTGTAACTCTAATTTTTTGGGTAAATAAGTATTTATTTTTTAAAGAAAATTAGTGATACAAAGAGAACAGATTCCATGTATTTTATAGGTACAGTTGAACTGTACATTCCTAAAGGTAACCATACTAACCTCTGTTTCCTCCCTCGCCCCCAGTTCTTCTTCTTCCCTCTCATCTTTTCATTAATTTTTAAAAAGACATAATAAGACTTTAAAAAGAGAAGTCCTTATGTTGTAATGTTTCAACCTTCTATAAATATTAAGCATATACTTAACATAGCTCTCTGTTAAATCAATAATTCTTTAGTGCAATGAATAAAAAATTTATCCATATTTATGGTTACATCATGATGTAAATATTTCATAAAATCTCTTGATAGCTTCAAAACTAAAAAATGTTTTTTAAAATATTTGAAGATAAATTGTTCTATTAAAAGCTTTCATTAAAATGTACATAAAAACAGAATTCTCTCTCCCTCTTTCAAGTTCAAGTGTTCTCTGTGCTGCTTTAAGTATTGGATTTTGTAGGAAAATACTTGCCTCTTTACAAAACATTATACTAGACAGTCTTGTCCTAATATAGGGTAATTAAGGATGTTTAGGGTCTAGTAACTTTGACAAAAGTGCTAAAACTTTTTGTATATTTGCAATTTTAATGCATAATTTTTTTAAATGTCAAGAAATTAATATTTTTAATCTTTACAAAATTATAGTCCTTTAACCTCTCCTTGAAAGAGTAAATTACAGATTAGATACTGAAATTAACTTCTGTATTTTCAAGAATAAGTTAAAGAAAAAACTTTGGAAACTAGATTTTTAAAATTTAAGTGAGAAATTAACGCATGTTACAAGTTAGTGCATTCATAGAAATTAAAAATTTTTTCCTGTTGTGCATTATGTGAAGAATATCTCAACTTTATCGAAAATGTAATGTCAATAGCATTGTCAGCATTGAAATAGTTTTTAAATCTGTGAGAAAACAAGCAGAAATCAAGCATTTGTTTCCCTGCTGCACATACTGGCATTTTATTTTTCTTAAAATGGTACCCATGGTGGTTTTGGTTTGTATTTCCCAGAAAATTAATGATTTTGATCATTTTAATTAAAAAATGTTTAAAAATGAGTTTAACTTTTTGAAAATTAAACCTTTAAAATTATTATCATTAAACTACCAAGGTTAAAAAAGTATAAAATATTTAAAATGTAAAGATGGCAATAATCTGTTCATTACACAGATTAATCACTCCTGAATGTATAAATTCTTTATAAAAACATTTATTTATTTTTATTGGAAAGGCAGAGAAGGAGAGACAGAGGGAGAGATCTTCCATCTGCTGATTCACTCCCTAAATGGCTGCAAAAGCTGCAGCTAAGCTGATTTGAAGCCAGGAGCTTCTTCCGGGACACCCACATGGGTGCAGGGTCCCAAGGCATTGGGCTGTCTTCCACTGCTTTCCCAGGCCAGAAACAAGGAGCTGGATCATAATCAAGGAGCAAGTGGAGCAGCTGGGACATGAACTGGTGCCCATATGAGATGCAGGAACTTGCAGGCAGAGGGTGAACCAGTTGAGCTATCATGCCAGCCCCTAATGTATAAGTTTTAATGGAAGAGATATACTTCTTTATACACACAAGTATTTTCATTAAAATAATTTTTACCTTCATGACCAAATAGAGACACGCAATTAAAACTGTTGGGATTTCTTTCCCCATCATTCTGTACATCTCGTGACAGCATTTATCTTGGATTATTATTTCCAGGATTTTCAAGATTTAAAATAATTTAAGGTGTGTTTTTTTTAATAGATTGTATTTACTGAGCCTTACTTAATAATGAACTTTCTAATATTGTAAGCACAAAAGCTAAAAACATTATGCTTAATTGTTTAAAACGGTACTATTAAAATTCTGTTTCATACTGAAAATATTTTAAAGTATTTCTTTTTCATTTTCTTTGTCTATTTTTCTTTCTTTTAAAAAGATTTATTCATTTTTATTGGAAAGTCAGATTAACAGAGAGAAAGAAAGAGAGAGAATGATCTTCCATCCACTGGTTCACTCCCAAAATGGCCACAGCAGCTGAAGCTTAGCTGACCAGAAGCCAGGAGCCAGAAGATTCTTCTGGGTCTCCCATGCAGGTCCGGGGTTCCAAGGCATTGGGCCATCCTCCACTGCTTTCCCAGGCCATAATCAGGGAGCTGGATGGAAAGTGGAGCAGCCAGGATTAGAACCCATTAGCCATTTGAGCCATCATGCCAGACCCAGTATTTATTACTTTATTTGAAACGATGATAGAGAAAGAGGGAGAGAGAGAGTGATAAAGATAGAGGCAGAGACACAGAATGATAGGGAGGCAGAAGGAGAGAGATAGAGAGAAAAACGTTTATCACTCTTAAATTCACTCCTCAAATAACCACAATGACCCAGGCTGTGCCTTGCTCGCCTGAACTCCATCAGGGTGTCCAACGTGGGTGGCAGGAGCCCAAGTGTTTGGGCCATCCTCCACTGCTTTTGCAGCCACATTAGCAGGAAGCTGGATCAGAAGTGGAGCAGCTAAGACTGGAACCAATGCTCTGATCCGTCACTCTCCCAGGTGGTGACTTAGATCCCTGTACTTCAACATAAGTCTCTACTTTTTTAATTGTGAAAACAGCTTTATTGAGATATGTTCCTATAGCAAGCAGTCTTGGAAGATACAAGTCCCTCAGGGACAGAGAGTAGATTTTTTGTATTTCCTGACCAGAGTAACAACTAGAGTTTGGGCAGGCTTGCTAGAAATTTTCCTTTAGGACTGGAGGATTCCTAGGCTTGGGGTTGTGTGCTCATGGAACAGTCAGTGTGTGGCTATGATGCCTACCTGGTCTGCTTGCCATCTTCATCTTGGAACTTTGGGGGCAAGGGGAACTGTTAACATTGAATCTTAGGCTGCCTGTGGGGCCCTGGATATTGGAAAGCATGTAGACTTTCAATTAGTAAACATGTCCTGAGAAGACACATCCAAGCTAAATGATGGCAGACAAGAGTGGGCAAAATGGTGGGAGTTGGAGGGTTTGGAAATGTTGAAAGCTGAGGACAAAATGCATTTTATGTGGTTGCAATCGCTAACCCATCTCATTTTTGATCAGTTAAATCTAGATTTCAAAATAGTGTGTATGGGTTAATATAAATTTTGATCAAAAACCAAAGTGAGGATGCAGGTTCTTCAGTATAATAAAATAACCCTTAACTTGCTTTATAATCTGCACCCAGGCTCCCCCAACAATATGTGCAAGATTCTGCATTAAAATCTTTCCTAATGCTCTGTGGAACTCCTCCCCTCATTGTAAAGCCACCAACCCATTTTTCTTGCTTTGATTTTCAATCTCCAATCAATAAAGAAATGCTTTAGTGAAAGCCAGATTAAAACTTGTGTTTTTGCCTTAGACTTCCATTGTACCTGTAATCCCTTCCGTCCCTCCCCGTCCCCCGCCCCAACTTCCACCTCCTCTACACACGCTGCAACTAAAGTTTGTACAAAGTGACTAGAAGGATGGGGAAACGTCGCCGCATAAAATAATGAACAGAAAAGCAATTGTTTGAATGGCCACTTCACTTGCTTTTATTATCAGGTGACAGAAGTTTATTTTGCAATCACATGGCGTATTTCTGTGTCCATTCTCGAGCAATTCGCTCATACTTTCTCCTATCCTTCCGATAGATTTTAGCAATTTCTGGAACCAGAGGATCGTCTGGGTTGGGGTCGCACAGCATTGAGCAGATGGAAAGTAATACTTTAGAAATGGTCAATGCTGGCGACCACTCGGACCTCAGGATGTCCAGACAAATGGTTCCATTCCGGTTGATATTTGGGTGATAAATTCGAGTAGTAAATGCCACCTTAGGTGGCTTGAAAGGGTAATCCGAAGGAAACTGGATCGTCAGGAAGAACACGCCTCCCTGGTAGGGGCTGTCGTCTGGCCCCATGATGGTAGCTTGCCAGTCGAAGATGTCATCAGCCACCGGGCCCGCCGAGCACTGAGCCGGAGGGTCCCGGGTCAAATCAAGCAGCTCCTTCTGGATGCGTTTAAGCGCCATCCTCAGCATCTAAGCGCGGGACCCCGGCCTGAAAAAGGGCAGAAAGCTGGCATCTGGGGTGGGAGGGACCGCGAGCTATGGGGCAGGCAGGTGTATGGGCTGAGATCCCGAGCAAGGTTCCCTGGGGACGTCAAAGGAGGTTGACAGGGGGTGGGGAGGGCCCCAGGGAAGGGTTAGAGACGGAGGCATCGGGTATTCCACTGCACCTGCTGGGTTTGGGGACAACTGTGGCTGGCGGCAGCAGCGGCGGCGGCTAGTGCCGCCGCCGCTCTGTCCGGAAGCCAAGAGTCGGTCGCCGGATACCAGGCTATCCCGGGAATTCACAGCTGGGGGGTCCGCAGCCTCCCGACGCCTCCGCTCCTGGCCTGGCGAGCTGGTCCCGGCCGCTCACAGTTCTGGCAGCGTGAGCGCAGGGGCCAGCGGGGATGTGCTGTGAAGTCACAGAGGCCGCGCTGACTAAGCCGTGCGCACCATCACCCGAGGGCGGGTCGCGGGGAGCGGCGCGGATGGGGAGCAGGCGCGAGGGGCGGGGCTGAGGGCGCTCTGGCGCGGGGAGGGCACCATCTTGGCCCGCAGTTACCTGAACAGAGATCGCGTCAATGACGTAGTCATCCTCACGTAGTTAACCCTCACGTAGTCACCTCCCCTAAGCATTTTACCCCATGGAGTTGCCCGCCCCCCGGAATCTCTTCTGTGTCCCTCCCCTCATTTTTGGTGATCATTAGTAAACTTAATATCGGCGCAGTACTTTAAGAATTAACCTTGGTAACGTTTCAGTAAAAGTATTCTCTGTAAAGATTAAAAACCTTAAAACATTAGGTTTAGGATAAAATTGCTTTAATTGAGAAAGAACACTTGACAGGACATAATAGAACCAATGGGAAGGAGGAAGAGAAGCAAACCAATAACACGTGGTGTACACACACACACACTTTAGCTATGGTTTTTTATAAAAGTAATCTTTTGTAACCAATGCTTTCAACAACACTTGTAGTTGCAGAACAGAATGTCTTCTAATTTGAAGCATTCCAAAATAGATACTAATACCCATTAAACCGTCTTTATTTGCTTGGAAAAGTCAAACAAATCAATCTACTTGCTGTACCAGTCCTTTACATGAATTAGGCAACAACTCAATGGAGTTCTTTGATTTTGTTAACAAATTAAATCATTTATGGTAATTCTCAGTTTATAAGATCCAGATACTCATCAATTCTAAAAAGTTGTTGCTAGGTCCAGCACGGTAGTCTACCGGCTAGAGTCCCCGCCTGGAACGCACCAGGATCCCAGAACAACACCAGTTCTAATCTCAGCAGCCCCACTTCCCATCCAGCTCCCTGTTTGTGGCCTGGGAAAGCAGTCAAGGATGGCCCAAAGCTTTGGGACCCTGCACCTGCATGGGAGACCCGGAAGAGGCTCCTGGCTTCGGATTGGCATAGTATTGGCTGTTGCGCTCACTTGGGGAGTGAATCATCGGACGGAAGATCTTCCTCTCTGTCTCTCCTCCTCTCTGTATATCTGCCTTTCCAGTAAAAATAAATACATGTTTAAAAAAAGAAAAATTCTTGCTGCAAAACTAGTTATCTAATATTCTTATTCAATTAACTTATGGAGGCAATTTTTTAAAAATTTTATTTATTTATTGGAAAGTCAGATATACAGAGAGGAGGAGAGGCAGTGAGAAAGATCTTCCGTCCAATGATTCACTCCCCAAGTGAGCGCAACTGCTGATGCTATGCCGGGCCTGAACCGGGATCCAGGAACTTCTTCCAGGTATCCCACACGGGTGCAGGGTCCCAAAGCTTTGGGCCGTTCTGGACTGCTTTCCCAGGCCACAAGCAGGGAGCTGGATGGGAAGCGGGGCTGCCAGGATTAGAACCGTCGCCCATAAGGGATCCCAGCGCGTTCAAGGTGAAGACTTTTAGCTGCTGGGCCACGCCCCCGGGCCCAGTGGCAATTTTTTTTTTTTTTTTTGATAGTACTTTAAAACTAGGGAAATGCAGTTAGTTGTCTGTGGGCCTTCTAGTAAGAGAAAATGTCTACCTCTTTGTACGGAACATTCCCATGTTTCTGTATTATGTGGTTTTAAAGAAGCTCATGAGGTGTGTGTGTGTGCCTATACAGAACACGCATGCTTCTGGACAAATTAAGTTGCACATGTGACTGATGAATATCAAATGTAAAAATCTTCATTTACAACAACATTTTTGTTAGATTTAAAAGGAATACCGGGACCAGCTCTTTATGGAGGAAGCATACATAACACCACAAAAAAATTTAAGATAAACTTTCAAATTATCTTGTTTTCCCTCAGGGGATGACATTTGAAAATTAGTTTTCAAGATCAGACACCATTAACATGAATTTTCTTGATGGGGTAGGCTACCAATAGGATCTAATCTTCTGCAAGTTGCTCATGATCCTCACATCCCCTCTGTGATGAAATGGTGGGGAATATGCCTTTTTCATCTATATGCACGTCATCCCCAGTTGTAACGAGAATCATTTTAGGATGCAAATTCTTGTCAATGGACGCCAATAATAAGCTTTTACTGAGTGTTGGTGCTGCCATTCTTGCTACTTTGAAATCCATTTTCAGTGTTATCTTGTAGAATGATTTCTCCAGATGACTCAATTCTTGTCACAGCCTATACTTGTTTTCAGTAGCTCTCCATCACCTGCAGGTTGAATTCTATGTTTCAAGGCTGTCCTGGTAAGTTCCCCCAAGGAGACTGAAAATTACAGAATTTTCTCTGTGCCTCTATAATTGCATGCACCATACTGCATTGTTATTATCTAAATTTCATCCTCTTAGCCAGTCTGATAGCTCTTTTATGAGGCAATTAGCCTTCATCATTTTTGTTCTCTTACTCCCTAATACATATTGGGTGCCTAATATTTTCTGCATGACTGTATGAATTCATTAAAGGGTGTGTGATATAATTTATATAGAAATATAAAAGGGGTTTTGATTCTCATTTTTCCACCTAAGCTAATATTTAAGTCAGAAATATTGTAAGATACAAGATACTAAACCACAAATACTCAAAAAATATTATTATACAAATACATTCTGATAATCTTCATTTGACAAGGCCTAGATGTCAGTTCAAAGCCATTTTAACTTTATCTGACACAATGTCATGCTTCCCATGCAGTTTAGTAATAAAGGCATGTTATTTTTGTCAGGAATGGTCACTATTACACTTTCATTTTTGATAATGAGCTGTCAGATTTTTAGGAGTAAAAATGATACAAGCATATTTTCAATGTGATAGGCTAGTGCAACACAATTTCCAAAAAGCCTCATTCCAATGAGAAGGGCAAATTCTGTCAAATGCCAACCTGACTCCCTCTAATCTCCTTCATAGTTCACTCTAACCAATCACCATTCATAACTTATATTATCCAGGTTATAAATATGAGATAAAATAGATTAATATCTATCAACTGTTCTTAATATTTTATCACTCTGTCTAGCTGAAGTGTTCTGTGTAAGTATCTAAGAAAAAAATTACATCCCAGCACCTGATTTTTAAGTTTCCCCTGCAGATTTGTCTGTCTCTCCTTGGCAGAAGTCAACAAAAATACTTCTGTTTTTGTCAAGAAGTCATAAAAATTCACTATCAGTCTAATGACATATTTATATCTAAAGCAGTGTTTCTCAAATTTCAGCTTGCATCACATCTTCTGGAGGGCTTGCTGAAGTTCATATTGCTGCACCTCAATCCCCACTGCCAGAGTATACAACTAAATTTAGGATGGAGGCGCCTTAATCTGTGTTTGTATTAAGTTCAAGGTGATACTGAGGACCACACTGACAATCGTTGATCTAAGCTAAATTAGCTCAGATGGCAGTGTAGATCAGAATTTTTTCTTTCTACAGAGAATCTTGAGTTCAAGGATATTTTACTGTATTGCAAACTGACTCCAAATCTAGCCAAACTCATTTTAAATCTAGCCAAGGTCATAATTATAGCAAATTTCATGTGTATTTTTAACAGTGTTTCCAAATAGACAATCATAACATCTGCAAATGAAGAAAAATTTTACTTCTTCCTTTCCAATCTGTATCACTTTATTTTTCTTTCCTGATTGCAGAAGCTAAAACTCTAAGTCCAATACTGAATGTAAATGATAAGGATAAACACCCCCACTGCTTTCCTGACCTTAGGGTGAAATAATTCAGTATTTCAAAATTCATTGTGATGTAAAATGTATTTTGTCTATTGGTGCAATTTGTCAAATTAGAGAAGTTTTTAAAATTCCTAGTATGTTATTAGCATAAATATTTTGCTATATTTTCTGCATCTGTTGAGATGTCTATATTTGTTCCTTTCTAAATTTATTACTATGATACACCTACATTTATATTTAAGATATCATTGTGAATTGGCCCATTCATCCTTACATAATGTCCTTTGTATCTTGTCCAAAATCTGTCTTGCCCAACATACGTGTGGCTAGCTCTGCTCTTATTTAGTTACCATTTACATGGGATACATATTTCGTTTCTGCTTGTGTATATCCTTATAATTATAGTAAGCTTATTATCGACAGAATATACTTATCTCAGATTTTAAAAATCTACTCAACCAACCTGATTTTAATCCATTTTCATTTAAAGCAGTTATTTCTATGGGAACATTTAGTATTGGTATTTTTCAATTGTTTCTTCTGTATCTTGTAGCTTCTGTTCTTCTCTGCCTTTCTTCTACTGCCTTCCTTTGTGTTTTGTAGTTTTGTTGTTGTTATTGTTGTGATATGACTGCTACTCCTCATTTCATTGTGCAAATGTTCTGTAGACATTTTCTCCATAGCTATCATTGCAATTGCATAAAACATCTTAATGGTATGACATTCCATTTTAAATTTATAGCAACTTAATTTTCAGCACATACCAAAGCTCTTTTCCTATACAGATTCATGTTAATCTCTTTGTTATGGATGCCATACATGACATCTTCATGTATTACACATTTATTGACATAAATGTATGG